CGGGAGGGCCACTTCTTCCCTTCCTTTCCTCGCTCCCGCGGGTGCCTAATCGGAGTGAGTTAAAGCGTGTCTTCTCCTCCCAAGTACGGACATACCAACANGTGTCTGGATACGAGCATGGTAGATCTGCTAGCAGCACGGGGGGGTACGTTGACAGGAGCANGTCTTTGGCTCCGACACCATCAGTCCGAACAGGCCGGCTACGCGCACGATGACCGACATCATCTTCTCGAGACTCTCCGGCGAGCGCGAGACGAAGGCCTCCGCGTCCGTCACCACCATCGTCTTCTTCCCCGCCGACCTGCCCTTCTTGCCCGTGTACTCTACTTGTGTCCCGATCTTGACCATGTCCGCCGTCAGCTTGGGGTCCTTGTCGAACTCGGCCACGGCGACCATGAGCATCGCGGCAAAGAACAAGCTGAACAGCAGCGGGGCCAGGAGGTGTCGTATATCGGAGCGGGCTTCTGTTGCCGCACCGACGGCGAACCTCCTCCACCCACAGAACCCGTCTCCACGTCTCCTTGCTTCTCCTCCCTGGTTAGGTCTTCTAGTGTTGATGCACCCGCGGCGGCATCACTCGTCGCTTCTGCGGCCGAACTACCTGCGGCGTCACCCATCGCTGCCTTGTGCTGGCTGCGGGCCATTGCTCGAGTACCAGTAGTCGAGTTCCGCAGTACACTGGACACGGCAGTACGACGTAGTCGTGTACTACTTGCAGCAGGAGTGGGAAAGCTGTAGGACTAGACATATTGGACGAGGCTGTGCCACATTTGTGCGAGAAGATGACGTCACCAACACGCCCTTCGGTGGATTTCGGGTAGATACCGGGTAGATACGGGCAGTCGTACGACCCCTACCGTCCAGCATCGACACCCGTACTAAAGCATGCAGTACGTTTATTCCAGTATTGAAGTCCGTACTAAAGCAGCCAGTACAGTACAGTATCGAAAGCTGTACGAAAAGTACTGAAACTTTGATTCCAGTATCGAGAGCTGTACCAAAAGAACTGAAACTTTTATTCCAGTATCGAGAGCTGTACTAAAACAGCCAGTACATTCCAGTATCAATAGCCCTACTGTACTAAGCGTGCAGTTTATTCCAGTATCGAGAGCTGTACTAAAAGTACTGAAACTTTCATTCCAGTATCGGTAGCTGTACTAAAAGCACTGAAACTTTTATTCCAGTATCGAGAGCTGTACTAAAACAGCCAGTAAATTCCAGTATGCCTCGCAGGCACTGAATACTGTGCAATACCGCCAGTACTATACTGTACTAAACACACCCACCCGTGGAATATTCATATTTTTCATCTCAAATCGTTAACCACGATTCTTCTATTTCCAGTGTTTTTCACTGAAGGGAGGGTGTTGTGAACGACACCAGACGCCTCGCCGAGTGCGTCTTTAGCCACACTGAAATTGAAGTACCATTTCCACCTAGACACTTCTTTCTACAGGAATCGACCTGGTCCCAAATAAAGTATTTTTGTTTCATCATATTGAGCTGCTGATGTGGTTCAGATTGATCACCTGTTGGGCGCCAACCTACTGCTGGGTGGAGGTGTGCGATGAAGAGTAATTGAAGTTGAGGTTCGCGGCGTTCTTTGCGAAACGATATCACTTCACTCATGTTCACCCGATTTTCTATCAGTGGTAGGCTTGATGACTCTCACCAACGGCGATGATACTCCCTGTGTAAGCTGAAGTACTTTGCTGTTTGTTTTGAACAGATTCTTCGCATTCGCTGTTGACTGGAGGAAGTCTCAAGCTGTGGCAAGAGAAGCTCAAATGTAACAGACGATGTAGACTAGTACCGCATTCAAACGTGCTTGTCAACCCTACTGTCACTGGTTGCCTTTTTTTTTTCTTAATATCACACAACAAATCCATCTCTATCTGTAGAAATATGTCTAAGATAGATAGCAACCTATTATAATCGGTGTTCAAGTATCATCATGGCTTTGGAAATCGGAATTCCACCACCCATGTCGTCCTATCGTAGCGGGTGTACCTTATATAATGCAAGCATGTTTGGAAATTGGAATTCCACCACCTATGCCGTCCTATCGTAGCGGATGTACGTTACACAATGCGAGCATGTATTGTTGGCTGGCATGTTTAGTTCTTAATTATTCTGAACTTATTGCCAGCCCTTGCAGACCTTCCGCCATGTTTTTGCGGAATTGCAATCCCTGTAATCGCTTGGGGTTTGTTTGTGGGTGTGTTGAAATGAGAGGCCTGAGCCCCTGTGTCCGTATTTCTTGCTGCCAATCTTTTGACCAAATAATATTTCGGGGCTCGTAGGGTTTGCCGAACACACGCAGGTTGAATCCGTCTTATTGTTGTTGTCTCAATTCTCTCGGGTCAGACGGTTGTATAGGGATTCGAAGGCTTAGTCGAGCGTTGACAGTCTACGTACATACGTGTAGACTAGCGGTGTGTGTTTTTTTTTCCCTATTTACTAGTCTAGGTATCGGGGGGTAATGATCCGCGTGGTGCGACGCAATACCTTGCTTGGATCCGTTGAGACGCCTTCCGCAGGCTTTCGCAACAACAGGAGGAACAATTCCATACCATTCCTGGAGACTTGCCCCTTAGACCCAAAGCTTCTCACACGGCTTTCTGGTGCGCGCACGCTTCTATCGTTCTGATGCAGAAAATTAGACTATGTATCCAAATACTTGACCCGGGTGCATTCGCTTCCGGAATGTCACCGTTTACGAGCACTGGGTGGCCCCTGCGCCTGACTGATGCACTCCTCGGCCAAGGAATTTTTATCGATAGCCTTTGTGTCATGCCAATCCTGGGTTTGCTGTATTTGTCAAGATTGCGTTGGGTCTTCACCTTAATTAAATGTCACCGGGACCGGAGCTCGCTGTCTCGACAATGCGCACTAGGAAAACAACGGGGTCTCTTGCGGATCTCGGTGGTACGAGACGGCATTTGCTTGGGCCTGGTCAATAAAATGTGGGAGAACCGTTCACGGTGAGTGGATCTTGGATGCTAAAGGAGAGACGGTCGCGTTCTCGCTGCACCATTGAGTTCCTTTCGAAGTCCGTGGAAAAATAAGAACAGCGGGGATACGCCATGAATATCAGCCATGTTTGACTCTGTCGACGTTCTGTTGCGGGTGCCGGACAAAGGGAACCATTGGCAATCTCGGTGATGGATTTCTTGGTTTCTCTCTGGCATTTCTTTATTCCTATTTTTGACGATGTCACAGATGCCATCCTGCTTTTCGCGACATTCGAGGATCGCGGAGGTCTTTGGTGGTCATGCTGTGTTGCGTTCGTTCTAGCAGGTGTTGAGCGAGTGCTGTTGTTCTCGTGACAATGTCGCTAGTGGTTTGTTGGGTGCCCTTCGCTGTCTTCGGTACAACGAATCAAGAGGCACACGTTTTGACGAGGCGGGCATGACTTGCTCCTGGAACCGGTTTTCGTGTGGATTGACTTTGAGCGCGGTGTTATTGTGTGGGGAAACCGGCCGTCCGCCCTGCGTTCGCCAGTGTTGGATGGTTTCTCATGGGCTGTGATAGGATCACGTTCCAAATCGAGCTCGTTCAAGAGGCTGTGTGGAATGGCAGGGAGCACGACAGTGGAAGCACTGGAGCAGTCCGGATTTGGTCTGTCGTTGATCGGTAGAATTGTTCACCACCACCCTTTCGACATGTTTGGCCGCGCTATATTTTCCTACCCTCCTGGCCACCACCTCATTGGATTAAACATTGTCATCCGTAGGGAAGAAGATATGCTGCGGGCGGTGGGTGAGACCTGGTAGGATGGTGTGTCGACTGGGGCAATTTCGTTGATATTTGTTTGCGGCCTACGCCACTTACTCATCGGGTGAGACTGATTTGGTGATGAATTAACTTCACGAGAGGTAGACGACCGTCCTTCACACGGACGGAAGAGGGAGTGCTNGTTCCCCCGGACGATGGTCTCCCAACGCCCCCTACTCCTGCCATTGGTACACAGACCGCAACAGTCATGCGCCTTTCCCCGCATGGAAAACATGACCTCTCCCAAGTGCTAGAAACTGCCACAGCTACTCCGGCAAATTCATCAACTTGCGCCGGTGGTACTGCAGACGGACCACGGCGAAGCAGCAGGGAACGACGCTGGTGGGCGAGCTCGGGGAGTGCCTGGGGTGCTCGACGGCCAAGGGGCTTTCCAAGCCCATCCCCAACGAGACGTCGACCTCGAATCGCTGCCTCCCATCGCAGAGGAGGAAGAGGAATTCGCGACTGAGGAGGACGAGTTTGGGGAGGGCGCGTCGAGCCAAGGT